CCGTGCTTGTCGCCGACGCGGCGGAGGACCTTGAGGCCCTCGTCGCCGAGGCCTTGGAACGAGTAGGGGCTGGTGCGTGGTTTGTAAGCGCCGCCGCGGAGGACCGTGGCGCCGGCCGCCTTGATGGCGCCGGCGATCTCGTCGAGGCGTTCTTCGGACTCGATCGCGCAGGGGCCGGCGATCATGCCGATGTGCCCGCCGCCGAACTTCGCCGCCGTCGNNGCGGTCTTGCTGGCGAGTTTGAACTCGGGCTGCACCGGCACCACCTCCGCCACGCCGGCGATCGCCGCTAGCGGCGCCGAGCGGATGATCTCTTCGTCACCGATGACGCCGATCACCGTGCGGTACGTGCCGCGGCTGATGTGGGGCTTCAGGCCGAGCTTCTCGACGCGTTCGACGACGTGGTCGACCTGGGCGTCGGTCGCGGTTTCCCGCAGGATGATGAGCATGATAGGAGCGGAACGTCGTGCAGACGGTGAGTCGCGTCGTGCCGACGCGGAGCTACTCAGCCGAGCCCAGCACTTTAACCCAGCACCTTGGCCCGCGCGTAGGACCCCAGCACCCGAAGCTGCAAGCATTTCTTCCCCAGCGACGCCACCGCCCGCCTGACGCGGAGGTCGGCCTGGTGCCCCATCAGCTCGACAAAGAAGAGATATCGCCCCCCGGAGAGGTCCTGGGTGCGGCTCCCGGGGATGGGGAAGGACTCGATCCAAGTCAGGTTGAGCTTCTGCCTTTTGAAGATCGCCATCCCGTCGGCCAGGGCGCCCGGCTCGTGGGCCAGCTCGAACATCAGGGCCGTTTTGTCGTCGCCCGTCTTGGGGGCCCCGGTCGGATACGTGTTCACCGGGCCGATGACGGCGAACCGGGTGACGTTGTCCTTCTGGTCCTCGATATGGCGGGCAAGCGGCTCGAGGCCGTGGCGGCGGCCGGCTTGTTCGCTGGCAATCGCCGCGACGCTCGGGTCCTCGGCCGCCAGCCGGGCCGCGTCGCTGGTGCTGGCGTAGGGAACCGCTTCGACCCCCGGCAGGTGCTCGGCCAACCAGTGGCTGCACTGGGCCAACGCCTGCGGCTTGCTCACGACGCGGCGGATCGCCGACCGCGGGCCCTGCCCCAGCAGGCAATGGTGGATCCGCATCGGGGCCTCGCCGCAGATATGCACCATCGAGCTGGCGAACGCCTCCAGCGTGTCGGTCACCCGGCCGTGGGTCGAGTTCTCCAGCGGCACGACGCCCAGCTCGCAGGAGCCCTCGGAGACCTCTTGGAACACTGCGTGGATCGTCGCCACGGGGACGAGGTCCGCCGCCTCGCCGAATCGCTCGATCGCTGTCAGGTGGCTGTAGGAGTCCTCGGGGCCAAGGTAGGCGATCCGCCGCAGGCCGATGGCGGCCCGGCTGGCGGCGACCACTTCGCGGAAGACGGCCCGCATCGCGTCGTCGGAAACCGTCCCCTTCCCCGCCGCGACGGTCGTGGCGGCGATGTCGGCGGGAGCGTTCTTCAGCTGGGCGTGCTGCGCCACCAGCCGCGCCACCAGCTCCGTGCGTTCGGCCACGGCGTCGGCGATCTGCCGATCTAGCACCCGAATCCGCGTCCGCAGCGCCTTGGCGCCGCCGGTGGGGGTCGTTTTCGGGGCGGCTTTCTTGGCCATCGCGGGAGCACCTAACGGATTACAGCATCGGGACTTGTGTCGGAAAGCGTCGGCCCCAACTGCCACTTTGACACTCTACCACAACCCCACAGCCGGGGGCGGCAGCCCACGGGTCCCAAAATGGCAGCCGCCATCAAGACGGATTGGGTGGCCAGACGCGTCGTAACTCTTGCTCCCGCATTGGCTTATGTCAAGCGGCCGCGGAGGGTCCATGCTGGCACGGACTTTGCGTTTCCCACGGGTGGCCCCACGAGTTGCTGCCCCCGAAAACGAACGAACCCAATCGCTGCGGACCCTTCCGTGGGACCCCCCTATCAGGGACCCCTTCCAAGGAAACAGCCGCAGATCAATAGGACCGGAAAGGAGCCATCTATGGCCGCTGGAGAAAAGATCATCGGCATCGACCTCGGCACCACCAACTCGGTGGTCGCTGTGATGGAAGGTGGCGAGTCGAAAGTCATCGCGAACGCCGAAGGTAACCGCACCACCCCGTCGGTCGTCGCCTTCACCGACAAGGGCGAGACCCTCGTCGGCGAGCCCGCCCGCCGTCAGGCCGTCACCAACCCCAAGCGCACGGTCTACTCGATCAAGCGCTTCATGGGCCGTCGCCACGACGAGGTCGAGAGCGAAGAGAAGATGGTCCCCTACGAGATCGTCGGGGGCGCCAAGGACTACGTGAAGGTGAAGGCCGGCTCGGAAGAGATGACCCCGCCCGAGGTCTCCGCCAAGATCCTCCGCAAGCTCAAGGAAGCGGCCGAGTCGTACCTGGGCCACAAGGTCAACAAGGCGGTCGTCACCGTCCCGGCCTACTTCAACGACGCCCAGCGTCAGGCCACCAAGGACGCCGGCGAGATCGCGGGCCTCGAGGTCGCGCGGATCATCAACGAGCCCACCGCGGCGGCGATCGCCTACGGCCTCGACAAGAAGGGCCAGGAGACGATCTGCGTCTTCGACCTCGGCGGCGGCACGTTCGACGTGTCGATCCTCGAAGTCGCCGACGGCGTCTTCCGCGTCATCAGCACCAACGGCGACACCCACCTCGGCG